ATTTGCCTCGTTCCGCGCCGAACCTTTACAGTACCGCGACACCTACATATCCCATGAGAGTCGGCGACATGAGCTGAAGCACAGACTGACTGGTCGTCCTGTAGATTCCTTCGAGAAGTGTCATTGTATGTTTCGGGTCAGGGATGGCGAGCATATAACAACGTCATTGGTCAACCGGCCTTTTATTCCGGCTTTTCAGAGAATATGAAGTCAATGGTTCTGTCAGCACCACTGCTTCAGGAACGCATCACAAAGCTTGCAGAGGACAGGGTCGCCGTTGAAGTCAAGGAAGGACTAATAAACAAGGATGACAAAGACTTTGGAGTAAAGTGCGCCCAGAGGCGAAACGCTCTCGAGAATGGGCTCCAGGAAGTCGCAGATAAGATGACCGACGACATGATCTGCAAGATGGAAAGCAAGACATTTATTCGAGGGGCCTACTACATGGCTACCCAGCTTTTGACCAGAGCCTATCACCAAGGAATCCACGTGTCCAGCGAAGAAGTTTTGCGCCTACGAAAGGTTGCTGACTTTGCTGCCAAGAAGAAACAGAGCATCATCTTCCTACCCAGCCACCGATCTCACGTCGATTACGTCTCACTGCAGCTCATTTGCTATCGCCTCGGCTTAACATTGCCTATTGTCGTTGCCGGAGATAATCTCAACATCCCGCTCCTCGGCAGCTTCCTGCAGCATGCTGGTGCCATGTGGATCAGGCGATCATTTGGTGACGATGCCTTATATACCACGTTGGTTCAGAGCTACATCGACACCTTGCTCCAAGAGGGCTACAACTTTGAATGTTTTATTGAAGGAGGGCGCTCTCGCACCGGGAAGCTGTTGCCGCCGAAGTTCGGCATTCTGAGCTTTATTCTTGACAGCATTCTATCTGGGCGGGTTGATGACGCAATTGTTTGTCCCGTCAGTACTCAGTATGACAAAGTCATTGAAACCGAGGGCTATGTCACTGAGTTGCTTGGGGTACCGAAAAAAAAGGAGAATTTGGCAGACTTCGTTTCTGGTGGCTCGTCTGTTCTTTCATTGAAGCTTGGTAGAGTGGACGTCAGATTTCATGAGCCATGGAGCCTGCGCAAGTTTGTTGATGAGCAGTTAACTCGCCTTCCGTCTATTCCCCCTGGCTTAGACACCGACCACCACAAGCCTGACGTGAGAGCCGCTCGTGAAAAGATTTTGAGGACCATGGGGTACAAGGTGCTAAGTGACATCAATGCTGTGTCTGTCGTTATGCCAACTGCTCTCATTGGCACAGTTCTGCTTACTCTGCGTGGTCGTGGAGTTGGTTTACAAGAGTTGATCCGCCGTGTTGAATGGCTCACTGCCCGAATTCGTGCCAAGGGAGGGCGTGTTGCTCACTTTGGAAACGCGCCCACGTCTGAAATTATCAATCGTGGTTTGGATGTGCTTGGCAAGGACCTTGTCGGCGTTGTCAATGGCCTAGCCGAGCCGACCTTCTATGCGGTCGACCGCTTCCAGCTGTCTTTCTACCGAAACATGACGATTCATTTGTTCATCTATGAGGCCTTGGTTAGTGCGGCAATGTACATGCATGTTAAGCGTGGTGGTGGGCCTGCTATGCAAGATATCTCATACGCAGAACTGAAGGATCAAGTCTTCTTCTTGTCCTCTTTGTTCCGCGGCGAATTCATTTTCGGATCCGATGGCCTTGTCACAAACTTGGACAACACTCTCCATGGTCTCGAGGCAGACCATATTGTTCGACTCGATCGAGATCAGAACGGCACTGTCACCACAATCGGGCTGTCCGTGGAAGAACGCAAGGCAGGCCGCGAGAATTACGACTTCTATTGTTTCTTGATTTGGCCGTTCATAGAAGCCAGCTGGCTTGCGGCAGTCTCGCTGATGGGCCTATCACCACCACCTGGGAGCAATGGAGAAATCTGGGTTGAGCAAAACAAAGCACAGAACAGCGCTCAGCTAGTAAGTGATCAAGTGGAACTGGCATCTTTATGATACATGTACACTAACTAACTCTGAACAGTTGGGTAAAACTCTCTACCACCAAGGAGATTTGTCGTACTTTGAAGCCGTCAACAAGGAGACCCTCAAGAACTCATACACCCGTTTTGAGCAAGATCAAATCATTCACGTAGTCAAGTCCAAGGACCCCAAGATCCCGCCTAGGATTCAACTCGATCCAGAATGGCGGCCGTCGCGAGACCCCAAAACCGGTGCCCTCGTTGCTGCAGGTAAACTTTGGGATTTCACGGAAAAGATTGCCAGTTCACGACGAGAAGGAAAGAACCGACGAGACGGGGCCACGGTCAGTGTGCGTGTGCTAAGATTGACCGACCAATTGGGAGCCAAGCTATTCGCCGAGGCTGTGGACGGCGAGAAGCAGGGGAAGAACAAAGTTCCCAGTCGGCTCAGTGTCGAGGAACAGGAGGCGCACAAGAAGGATGTGCGGAGGAGGAGGAAGAAGCTGAACCAGCGGGCACATTTGTAAAGATATGAATATGTATATTTGTACAACCCGAAAACGTCTATATACCCATAAATATCAACGCTTTTGCATGCCACGTCTTGGTCTTGACGTCGCTGAACCCCGCGCAAAGTATCCAAGCCCCGAGCCAAAAAGAGCCGACTCAGACATGAACAAAACCGCTGCCCTCTTTATAATGTACAACAATAGCAGCGGCTAAACCGCTATAGCCGCTGACGCACCCGAGCCGTAGAAGACAACTCAAGTTGATTTGGGCGGTAGAATGATATTGTCAATTAATCTGACAGCAGGGCCACCGGAATGGCCCAGATCCTCGCCCTCATACGGCTCTTCTACAGGGAACATTCGCACCGCGCCGCTCAAAACAGCACCCCTTGCCACATCGACGGCATCAACCTCGTGCAAAGAATCCGGGTCGGCGAGGGAAATGTAATCGACTTCAAATTGAGCCCGTTCACTTGGCTTCATGTCCATCTGCGCCCTGAGCATCATGGCGCAAACATGCTGCGCAGCGCCAAGGATGGTGGCGCGATCGGTGTGTCCTCCGCGGTAGGCATTTTCAGCAGCTCGCAGGGCAGTATTAAGAACGATGGCGACATCGCGACGGCGAGTGCCGAGGTAGACGTTGCGTGAAGCCATGGCCAGGCCATCAGTCTCGCGCTCGGTCGGGCAGACGACCACCTCCGTAGGCACCATGAGGTCCTTGACCATGCGCCGGATGACAACCGTCTGCTGGACATCCTTCTGCCCGAAATACACACGCTCCGGCTGCACGATGTTGAAGAGCTTCATGCAGACCGTGGCGACGCCCCTGAAGAAGGTAGGCCGGCTGGCGCCCTCGAGAACCTCGGCCACGGGCGTGATGGTGACAAAGCTCCCCTTGCTATCGACGGCCTGTCCTGGGAACCCGGAGGGGTACATCTCGGGCGTAGTCGGCGCAAAGATGGCGGATATGCGTCCGAGATTGGCCCCGTCATCAGCCAGCTCGCGATCGAGCTTGGCCAGCGCAGCGGTGTCGGTCTCCCACGTCACCGGGTAGGACGACAGGTCCTCCTGGACGCCGAACTGGGCCGGGTTGACATAGATGCTCACGACAACGTGGTGGTTTTCCTTGGCCGCGGCCCGGATCAAGGCAAGATGACCCTCGTGGAGGGCTCCCATGGTGGGAACGAGCCCTACGCTGCGATAGTTGACCGTGTGCGGCCTCCTCCATCTCCGGACCTGCTCGACCGCGCGGAGCACGCGAATAGGCGAGGACGGCACGGTCTCGACGGCCGTCCGTAGTGACCTTGACCACATGTATGGCGACGGGCCACGCCGCGGGCCATGGGCAGCACGTGCCCCGATCCGAGGCGCTACCAGACGCTGCATTGCAGTGGGAAAGCCGAGGGGGGAGCAAAGGGACAATGTGTGAGGCGGCGCGGGTGGAGGGGAATGACAAGAGAGGGGAAAAGCGTATTTTCCATTTTCGGGGCCGCAATGGCCTTGAAAAGGAGTCTGTTCGTGATGGTTTCTGCTGCGGAGATTTGGGGACGCCGGAGTTTTCGATGGGGAATGAGAGAAAAGGCGGATGAGTCAGCAGCCTCAAAGTAAACCCCGGGAGCGGTGCTGCGACGCCGTGGTGTTGGAATGGTAGGGCGTTGGATAAAAAAAAATTGAAAAGATGAAAAACTGAAATGTGCTCCGGGCCAAATGGTGGTGTTATATACCCGGCTCGCAGTCCAAATCTATTATGAATTGATGAAAAGTCTGCGGTGAATACCGATTGTTCTGTCGTGCACAAGGTACGTGGTGGGTAGAACAAGGATGACGAATGGCTTTGAACTGTATTGTTCTGAGCTGGGAAGTTGGCTGCCTGAAGTATTCATGCTTGCTCCCGACACTTGGTAATCTCGCTAGTTTTACAAGACCATTGTGTTTTCAATTGATTGTTGAGAAAATAGAGTTGGAAGTGGAAAGCATGCCACGTACATATCCGCCGCACCAGTCATGGTCACGAGGTACGAAACTCTGCCGTAACGAACAGGAAATTAATGACTGCGGGTCATGGACAGGGGGATCAAAATCTTTGAAAAATCACTCAGCGTTATTGTTCCTAGTGCCGAACTTGGACTATTTCAGGTCTGATCTGCGCGGAGAGCAAGGGCCTCTTTGTGAGTGCCCGTGGGTATAATTGTAACCCTAACCCTTGAAGCCAGGCTACATGAACAACACGAGCGGGCAAACTTCGCTGTCAGGCAAGAATTCGTGCTTTGACCCCTTTTCTGCCCATATTTTTCGTATATTTAAGACTATTGGTCATCCGTAAGAGTGATCAATCAACATGTGGGGGATTGTGCTCATTAATCTGCTACATCTATCAATTCTATCGATAGTATATTATAGAATTCCCTCCTGCGCCAACACAAAACTTCGTATTCCCACTTCCCAATGCAGTCATTAGAGTATTCTATTCTAAATCAACCCAATTCCGAGCATTAACTAACTTGCAGAGCCGCAATTATGAAGCATGTTATACTTAGGCCATGCCGCCACCAGTCATACTTCCCTGCTTCAGCTTCGACCATCGAGTGAAACAGCCGATGAGAGTGGCGATTCCAGTGGCCGCGATGCACATGGCAAAAACAACTTTAAGACCAGCCATGTAGCCGGCAATGACAAGAGGCTGTTGGTCCGCAGGGAATGCGTGTCGAATCTCAGTAGCGCCAGTGAGGACAAGGGTTCCCAGGTCAACTTGGGGTGCGTTCTTGAGAACGTGGTCGACCATCTGATTGATGAATGCAGCCTGGCTTCCAGAGACGAGATAGGCACCTCCAATACTTTGGAAGACTAAAAAGTTTTCACTGGTTAGTCGTTGGGGGGATCCGCGTTGGAAAAGACAAACGTCGCAAAAATACTTACAGAGGAGCATGCCGGTGGCCGAGGCAAGATCTTCAGGGGAAACTGAGCCCTGAACAGCAATCATGGGAATCTGGAAAGCGGTTCCCCAACCAAGTCCAGCGACAATCTGGTATCCGATCCATGCACCGGTAGAAGAGTCGACGTCAAGCATGTACAGGAGACCAGCGCCGACGGTGGCAACGGCGCCACCCCCGAGGAGCATGGGCTGGTATCGGCCCGTCGCAGATACGTAGGTGCCACTGAGAATGGTAGAGATTGTGACAGCAACGATGAACGGCAAGTTGCGAACACCGCTCATGGTTGGGTTCGTTCCATGGACGGACTGGAAGTAGATAGGGATGTAGTAGATGGCGGCGAAGAAGCCGCCGGCAAAGATGAAAGCAAAGGCGCTCATGACCCAGTTGGTGCGTTCCCTGGCGAGTCTAGGAGGAACCATGGATCGCTCGCCCTGGAAGTACTGAAGGACAGCCCAGGCCGCCGTGATGGCGACAAAGCCAACGAGAAGGCCAATGACAACAGACGAGTTCCAGGCGTGGGCAACACCGCCATACTGCACAGCAAGGATGTAGGTGACGGTGGCGCCCATCATCAAGACAATACCGAGAGGGTCCATCTGCAAGAACTTTTCCAAGAGAGTTGCCTTGACGGGGACAGCACTCTTGGGCGTCTGGAAGAAGACCAAGATAACCAGGGCGGAGAGACCTCCGATGGGGAGGTTGATGTAGAAACACCATCGCCAGCTGACGTTGTCGGTGAATGCGCCGCCCAAAAGAGGGCCAATGACACTGGCGAATCCATACGAAGCACCGAGGATGCCGGTAAAGGCAGGCCGCCGCTTGGGAGGAGCAGAAAAGGCGATGATGGTATAAGCGCCAGCTCCGAGACCAGCGGCGCCGACACCAGCAATCGCGCGTCCAGCAATGAGGGCCTCTGCGCTGGGGGCAGCACCGCAAATGACGGATCCGAGCTCGAAGATGAAGATGGCGACAAGGAAGGATGTCTTTAGTGGGAAGTACTTGTAAACCTTGCCCCCTATTCACGACGGAGTTAGCAACTTTTGCGACTAGGATGAAGACGGGAACAACGTACATGTTGACTGCATAGAACCAACGGTCATGAAAAAGGCAGCACCATACCAGCCTACTTTATCAAGACCCTTGAACTCGTCGGTGATTTTAGGAATGGCGGTGGCAACAATGGTCTACATGTAAACGTGTCAGTGGTGTTTCGACAAGTTTGTGGAAACAAGGGGCAATTAAATGCGCGGCTTACCATATCAAGAGACAGAAGGAAGACGCTCATGACGAGGGCAACAACGATGAAGACCATTTTGATACCAGAAGGATACTCGGTATCGTCAGATACATCGTCGGCCACGGTGGATGACACATCGTCATGTTTCTCTTGTAGATTATTAGCACGGCTTTCGTCCTCGCCGCCACTCGAGTAATTGGCCTTTTCCGATACTTGGTCCCCGGCGATGGTTGATGCTGAAGAAATAGTTCGATCCGAGCCCTTTGGGACCGCTAGGCCAGTAGTCCTAGTCATTCTGGGCAATATTTTGTGTCGTGCTAGGTTCTATGCTGAACTGAAAGACGAATGCGCAGTGGGAGAAGAGAAGAAGAGACTGAAGAGTGATACATATATATATCTTCATAGAACAAGGTCCCCGGTTATCCCAAGTCTTCGATGAAGCGAGCGGAATACTGAAGGGAGTCGGCAGGGTGGTCCCCAGATATACATATAGGCAGAAAACCGACGACGATATCCAGTTCCCCCTCCTGCCTGGACCATGACCCCGGCGGTAGCAAGTTGCAATCTACCATGACTCACTGATAATCACATAGACAGATCCGGAGAGATGATGCGGTTAGCCATGCGGAGTTTACGACCCATTGAAGATCCCAAGGCCTAGCGGTGCTTATTCTCACAGCACGGCCATGACAACGAGACAAAATTTGGATAGCCTAATAACCACGCAACAACCGGCGCTTATGAGCCATAACGGGATGTGTCGGTGCGGTGGATACACACCATTACTCTGTACATGGACATTTTGCCATTCCCAGGGTACCATGAGTCCATGACAATCATGGGTGGCCAGCCACATGCAGCTTGCCCGGGTGCATCCCCGACCTGAGACTGTTCGATTCGACGGCGCCCTGGCGAACCCGCCAAGTCCGCAGGGCTGATTGTGTAAGCCGCCTAATCTAGCCTCAAGCGAGCGAGTTCCAACATGTTACCAAGCAAGTCCGCCAAGACGGGCAAAGGAAGGCCTTGTTTGATGGAGCCCGCAGTTGATGTTGCGCCGGCCAGATATCGCCAACCAGGCAGACAGGGTTCTCGCGCTCCGATTGTCGCAGCTTTCTTCTGCTGCTTTGGATTCGCTGCTTACGCCGTGCTCTGTAGCTTGTTGCTCATTGAACGCGGCGAGCCGGCATCAGTCATGACGGTGACGTGAGCGTCAACATGGCTCATGATGAGTGGGTGGGTGAGACAAACATACATAAGTTACATAACTTGCATAACGCCCATTCCCGTTGCATAACGGCTCCTGGTCTGCGCTGATGTCGTGTGCCGGCAATTACGGACTTAAGCACGTCGCAAGTCTGGCATGCTTATTCCCCTGTCCCATCTTCAGACAAGTCCTCACAGATCTGCCACGCGGCTGCTTCACGCCATTCCCATATCTCGGACGTGCCCACGGGACTTGTACCGAGTGGCTGAGAGACTATCGGACAAAATGGATTCGGCGGAGTTTGCGTGATCCGCTGTCCGCACCTCTTGGTCGCGTCGCTCTTCGCATCGTCGCAAGTTTCCCAGCGCTAGATGTGACGAGCTTGCAACCGTGGTTCATGGGAGGGATACCCGTCTGCACCCATTTACGCGCAAATGCTGTTCAAAGGAGAAGGGTTTTGGCGTGGACCAGCCCCGGCCATCAATGCTCTGCGTCGCCATCGCCAGTACTGAAGACATCGCAAGTCTACGAGCCCCTGACCAAGCAAGCTTTTTCTAGAAAAAAAAAAAAATGTTTTGCTAATCTTTTGTTTTGTTTTGTTTTTTGCTCGTAGTGCCTTGGAACTGGCTCAGCCCCCGGATTTCGGCCCCGTTTACCCCGGGTTTGCGCGCCGATAAAGCTCGTTAGATCTATATACACCGTCATTTTGTCTCGAGCCCGTGAGCCTTTATACTCTTCGCTTGTGCATGCATAGTCTCTATTGATAGTCTACTGCCCCAATGCAGCTCGTCGCTTGGCATCTCCAGGTCCCATCTAGGAAAGAGACACAGCATTGAACCACATTTACCCCGCCTGCTCCTTCATCGACCATTCTCTACATATCAAACTCCAACTTCACCTATTCCCAAGTCGAAAAGTCCTCCGTCTCTGCAGGAACAATGAGCGCCCCATCCATCCAGCTAACAGCTCCAAATGGGGTAAAATACACCCAGCCTACGGGCCTCTTCATCAACAACGAGTTTGTCAAGTCAAGATCCGGAAAGACCATCACGTCTCTCGACCCCGCGTAAGTGCATCACGCGTTTGTTCAGCAGAGACTACAAGTTGACATTTCAAACCATGGCAATCTGACCCAGACTTTCTCTTGCAGTACTGAAAACGAAATTGCTACCGTCCAGGCTGCTGGCCCTGAAGATGTAGACGACGCTGTCAAGGCTGCTCATGCGGCGCTGAAGCACCCCTCATGGAAGCAGATGCCTGTGTCCGACAGGGGCAAGTTGATAAGCCGTCTTGCGGACCGGCTGGAAGCACAAAGGGAGTTGTTTGCTACGATTGAAGCCTGGGATAATGGTGAGTTCGCCGTCACGTCGGCCCCATTTTCGTCCTCTTCATCACCCACCTCGGGCCTTCAAAATACGACTCGCACAAACGTCCCACAGCTATTCACCCAGCGTGCTAACACCAACTTTAGGCAAAACGTATGCCGAGGCGCTCAGTGTGGATTTGGAGGAAGCCATTGGCACATTTCGCTACTATTCTGGCTGGGCGGACAAGATCTCAGGCCAAACCATTCCCACCACTCACCAAAAGTTCGCCTATACCATCCGTCAACCCATTGGAGTTGTCGGCCAAATTATTCCTTGGAATTACCCGTTATCGATGGCCTCTTGGAAACTCGGGCCAGCCCTCGCGTGCGGAAACACCGTTATTATCAAGGCAGCCGAGCAGACTCCCCTTAGCATTCTTGTTCTAGCCTCATTGATCAAGGAGGTCGGCTTCCCGGCCGGCGTTGTCAACGTCGTGAATGGATATGGAAAGGATGCAGGAGCGGCCATAGTCGAGCATCCTCTAGTGGACAAGGTCGCCTTCACCGGTTCTACAGCCACTGCCAGACACATCATGAAGATGGCTTCCGCTACGCTAAAGAACATTACTCTGGAGACGGGAGGAAAGTCGCCTCTCCTCGTCTTCGCAGATAGTGACTTGGAGCAGGCTGTAAAATGGTCTCACCTCGGAATCATGTCCAATCAAGGCCAGATATGCACGGCCACGTCGCGCATCCTGGTCGAGGACAGCGTCTATGATCAATTCGTCGACCAATTCGTCCAGCAGACCAAGACGGTCAGCAAGGTTGGCGACCAATGGAGTCCTGATACATATCAGGGCCCCCAGGTTTCCAAGCTGCAGTATGAGCGAGTTCTCGAGTACGTGGAAGCCGGCAAGGCCGAGGGTGCGAGACTTGTGTGTGGTGGGAAGCCTCTCCATGCTGACACCAAGGGATTCTTCATCGAACCTACCATCTTCACCGAGGTCAAGGATAGCATGCGAATTTACCGTGAGGAAATTTTTGGTCCCGTCGTGGTGATTAGCCGGTTTAATTCGGAGGAAGAGGCAATTTCTCGAGCCAACGACTCCACCTACGGCCTCGGAGCTGCCGTCTTCACCAAAGATCTTGAGCGTGCGCACCGGGTTGCATCTGAGATTGAGGCGGGTATGGTTTGGGTAAATAGCAGTAATGACGGTGATCCAAAGGTTCCTTTCGGAGGTGTCAAGCAGAGCGGCATTGGGAGAGAGCTTGGTGAGGCTGGTTTGGAGGCCTACAGCCAGGTTAAAGCCGTCCACATCAACATGGGTAATCGACTTTGAGTGAAATGGCTGGTAGGAGCCAAGAGCCAAACGAAAGTGACAAATAGACATTCTTCATGGTGCATCGCCTTGACAAATTATTGGACATGTCACATCGAGGCTGCCCAAGCCTCCGGACCCACGTCACGAGCGCCAAAGCCACACAACCCGAGACAGTCGTCTTAGGTCTATCCCACATCTTGGCGAAGACTAGGCCGTAACATGCGCGGCGATCGTGACCGGATACGACTGGTTTTAGTAGTATAATAAGGGCCCTGATTACGCCGCCCCAAATTGATCTCACAGCTCCACTCAAGCTCTGGCAGCAGCAATCCACAGAGATGGACGTTGAGCCACCTTCATACAGCGAAGTCACCACCGATGGGGAGTATCTTCTCCCTCCAGCGACTCTCCGAATAAGCGGCCATGTCATCTACTCTGATAAATCTGCCACAGAGCCGCTATATGAGCTATCACATGAGCTGATCCATCTCCGCGATACAACAAGAAGCATAACCGTCAAGAGACTGGATACCACTATCAAGCCATCCTCCTCGTCAACAGGACCACTCTCTCACGCTGTCACACAAAAACGCCATATATATGACCTGAAACATCCGGGCATCATCACCGGTCCAGTATTCTTGTACAACGCTGAATCAGTCTCGCGACATAGTCTCTGCTCTTTTGGGATGAGCACGTATCGGCCTCGGTTGTTCTCGTCGGCGAATGGATTCCGAGTACACCGCGCTGCAAAAGGGCTAGGCCACCAGGTTGTTGCCCGGGGATTGCTATTCTCAGCAGTGTCAACCAAGGCCAGCGCGGTCAAGTACGAATGGTCGGATGAACGGGGAGAGATTCTTGCCCGCGAGTTGAATTCTGCACAAGGCTGCAAACTGTTCATTACCAAGGAGATGAGCGTGAAGAAGAGAGATGCGCTGGTGACAGCGTGGGTGCTAAGGACGTGGTGGGAGCTCGCCAGGAGTGGGGAGTATGAATTATGACAACATGTCTGCATTATACCATTGACGTTGGCATTCTTTCGTACATGTGAACCATGTTATGGGCTATGGTTTTGCATCGCAGTGTTTGCCTTTGGGGCCGTGCCTTCGCTTTGCGTGCTTCAGTACATGTCCCAGAGACTCACTTTGCCATCCTTGGCCCCAGCCGCAACCCAATGAGCTGCCTTGACGCGGTGAATTCGTCTATCTTGAACAGACAGTCGACTCACATCAATAGCGTCATCAGCTTGCTGCACCTCGCAACCGACTTGTGCCTCTCTGTCTGTGTCGACAGTTTGCGAAGTCTCTGGTCCCACATCCGAGAAAGTGACGGCGTAAGCACCGTCCTTGTGCCACTTCAAAACAGCCAGTTCTTTGAGGCTTTTGCAGGAGTATAGTCGAATCTTGGAGTCCCACCCAGCAGTTGCGAAGATTGCTCCGTCAGATCGGACCTCGAGACTCTG